TCGCAGGGCCGTGCGCCGATGACCTATTTGCACAAATCTACAACCACAGATCCAAGGCAACCCCCCACAGTCTCCGGTGGAACCAACTTATGAATCCCTTCCACTCGCCTCTTCAAACGAAGTGAAAGATACTTCAACACAATCTATTAAGAGATTTTCTGAAATCCAGTTTTTCTACATATTTCTCGGTATCTTGTTCTTATTTTGTGTCATCTGATTAATTATTAGATTAACAATCATATATTTTAAGTATCATAGTAACGCAGCAACTCTGTATGCTTGATCGCAGTAACAATTAACGTCTTTTTAAATACTGGTATATCTTTCATTTCGTTTGAGAAGGCATTCGTAAATTGGCCCCATCGGATACCGAAGTTGGCTTGCCTTATACTCTTGTCTGTTAACTTGTGGTATACCTAGACTCACCCTCCTTCGACCCCGAAGACTTAGCTTTCATCCGTCATGTGACAAAATACTGCATCATATAATGTGTCAATCATTGAATGTATCTTCAGGAAATCCTCCGAATTAATACTCTCGACCAAAATTTGTCTGAATCTGCTTTTGTTCTAATCAACTTAAATAATATTGAAGTGTTTTTAAGGAGTCTTTCTTTAACCAAATCATGAGATCCCTCTTAGTTCTAATTGTCAAATTAAGTCTATTAAGAATACTAAATTTAGGAATAATACTAAGCGAAGAATATAGTTTCGAAAATCTAATGCGATTAACTTGTCTGGCTGAAAGATATGTTAGTATAAATAAACTAAGGAATTCTTCAAAAGCCAGTTTTTCATATAATGTTTTTTTTTGCTTTTCCTAACAGAGCTTCAGTTGGCTGCCCAGCCACATTCTTCCCGTCAAATCGCCAGTTCATCTCCTTCTCTCCTTGCATCATCTTATCCTCATCTTAGGCCTCATAATTACCTTTTGGCCACCGTTGACCCGAGCAGATTGCATCTGGTATGGTCTTTGCAAGGAAGATGACCCCGACCACTTTTCATACTGCAGCTATAACGGAACGGCTCTTCCACTTAAAGACTCGGTCGCTCTGAAAACCCTGGGGGAGGTCTGCCCTGACCTGATGATTATGGACAATCTCAATAGCATAGAGTTGTTGACCTGTTGTGACGCTAAACAGATTTTTTTATTCACTCAATCTGTGAAATTAGCCGAGATCCTTTTTCAACGGTACTCTTGTGAATTTTATCTTGTCTTACTATGTTTCCTATATTTGATGAACCATATTATTTATTTGAAGATATGAAGACCAAGATGCTGTGGCCTCTGGTATGGTCACAGTCTCCTTTCGATTTATAGAAGTGGGTTGACCTCGTTTTCGCAACTTGGTCTTGTTGTCAGGAGGTTTAATAGAACGCACCTAGTCCGAAGTCGTCTGCTATAGTAGTTGTCATGCTTCCAGTATCATACAGTGGACTTTGTAAATTCTCAAATGTTTCGCCGGCATCGTAGTCGGCATCATCAGTGAGTTTTTCTATTCGCCGCACCAATTTACGAACTCGTCAAGGGTAAAGAGTAGATAGGAAGATAGATAGAAAGAGGAGTGATAGTGTAACCGTTTTCGGCAGAACGTTTGTTCAAGGATTGAATTCACTTGTCTCTTTGACGAGTTCGTAGCTTGGTGTGGAGAATGGCAAAACTCACTGATGATGCCGGCGAAATGTTTGAGAATGTACCAAGTCTACTGG